TGTTTTTGGCCTCATGTTGTCAACACTGGACACAGATGTGTTTAGTGTTATTAACCTGTACACAAATTTCACACCAATGTAGGCTAAGGGAGTGATTTGAGATGATTTTTATTGTTGAACCAAGATGTTAAATTATATACTAGCACGGGATTAGATTATAGGGTAATACATGTACATGTATATGGAGAAGAAAAAAAATCGAGTCTCATAGTTCAATTATATTTTCGAGATAAACATTATCACGGAAATAGATTATCTATCTTAGTCCGTTATATAATTTAGCATCGCATACAAAAGTACTCGTCTGCTGGATAACCGAACTACTCGGTATATAGTGAAGCGGACGTAAAACCAATCAATCAATCAATCAATCACATAAGTACTGTTCTGTATTAAATTAAATGTGTATACGTAACTGTCGGTATTCTGCTGTTTATATTTGAATTGTCTACCAAACATAAGGAAGACACAATGTAGTCAATTTTTCATTAAACGGTAATTTTAAAAATATGACATACATTATTTCCCTCACCCTCGTTTATTCGACCACGGAATTATATTTTAAGGCCATGATTCGACAAATTTCTTATCCGTGCTCAGAAACAGGACATGCAATGCTGCAAATCTGTGCTACTCTATTCGGAGTTGTCAGATTGGTCTCAACAGAGACGCATACATTACAATAATATATACGTCTCTGATCAAACTCACTGTCTGAAAACTCTGGCAAATTTTAACAGAGCTGGATACCATCTACATAATGTTATCTTCAGCATAATCTGATTCCTCAAAACGAAAAAAACCCCACTATTTCATAATCTGACACTGTATGACCATGGCTGTTCTCTATCCCGTCTATTCCTTCCATGGTGACTGCTAATGTCAGTCGTTGAACTTGTGACGCCACAACCGATAGGGTCCCGTTTACCGTGAGTTAGAATTCTGCTTATTAGTAGTAATTAAAGGACAAGTGAAAATCGTACAGTTTGCACGTCAATATGTAATATATATACGTCTCTGATTGAACTCACTGATTTTTATGCGGTTTTCGAAATTTTTGTTTTTGGATCATACATAATTATAATATGTTCATTTTTATTTTCGTTCACTATATACAAGTACCAGGTGCGTACGCGTACGTAGTTAGCACTCGTTTGGAGCGGATTCATTTAGGGATGGGTCCAGGGCAGGGATGTGTAGTGGACATCCCTGGTCCAGGGCAGGGATGTGTAGTGGACATCCCAGGTCCAGGGCAGGGATGTGTAGTGGACATCCCAGGTCCAGGGCAGGGATGTGTAGTGGACATCCCAGGTCCAGGGCAGGGATGTGTAGTGGACATCCCTGGTCCAGGGCAGGGATGTGTAGTGGACATCCCTGGTCCAGGGCAGGGATGTGTAGTGGACATCCCAGGTCCAGGGCAGGGATGTGTAGTGGACATCCCAGGTCCAGGGCAGGGATGTGTAGTGGACATCCCTGGTCCAGGGCAGGGATGTGTAGTGGACATCCCTGGTCCAGGGCAGGGATGTGTAGTGGACATCCCAGGTCCAGGGCAGGGATGTGTAGTGGACATCCCAGGTCCAGGGCAGGGATGTGTAGTGGACATCCCTGGTCCAGGGCAGGGATGTGTAGTAGACATCCCTGGTCCAGGGCAGGGACCTGCAAACTGTTAGGCCTACAGCTATATCTGGACCTAAACTAATGTGTAAGTTCAGGGTAATTTTACATGTTTTAGGGGTTTAAGGGTTTAGATCTACTTTCGGAAAAAACGACACCTCCAATGATTATATATTATATACATATATACAACATGTATAGGTCAAAGAAGTAATATAGACGGTAAAATCCCATATAACACTGGAGGTATGTCCGTAGGATACGAATTACTTAAAATATTATATGGGGCAAAGAAGTAATTCCAACAGTGTGGACAAGTTTAGGTTGTCAAATTTTCGGAGCGCTCCTTTTTCAAGACACAGTGAAACAGAAAAGTTACATGTGCATGTATATATATATATATATCACTTTAGTTTAAGTCAAAATATAGCTGTAACCACGGACTTAGATAACAGGCTAATCGAATTCCGTGCTGTAAGAAGTTCTCGGGTCCCAGTGAATAGGGGGACAATGAGGTGCAATAAGCTCTGGGTTTTTTTTATGTTTGAGCCACGTACTTAGATAGACCACGGACTAAGATAACAGTCTAATCTAATTCCGTGGATAGACTAATCTAATTCCGTGCTGTAAGAAGTTCTCGGGTCCCAGTGAATAGGGGGACAATGAGGTGCAATAAGCTCTTGTTTCTTATGTTTGAGCCACGGACTTCGATAGACCACGGATATAGATAGGCCACGGACTTAGATAGACCGCGGAATTAGATAGACCACGGACTTAGATAACAGGCTAATCTAATTCCGTGGATAGACTAATCTAATTCCGTGGAATAGACTAATCTAATTCCGTGGTTTGAACCCTGCAGCTACGTGTCTGGTTACAGTAGAGACGTACTGGCTTTATATGTCTCTGGTTAGTTAGATTTGTACATAAACTGAGGCGTTCGAAGTAAGTTACAGAGTTCAGTGACAGAGTTTAATGTTTAAAATCATTCACTTATTACTACAATTTACAACAAAGTCGTTTCAAAAATGCTGAAGATCATTTATTTGAAAAACCCGCGTATAATTTGGATGGATCCCTGAGTTATCTTTCTTGGTGCACATGCCGGTCTGGGATTGCGTTTTGGATACCCAGTTGAGAATTTCCCTGAATCGCCGTTTAGTAGACGTCACAGCAGTATGGTAATATAATACAGATATTTTTTGGTTATTTCTCTTTCACACGCAATCATGTCAAACAAATCAAGCACTTTGCATTCCATTTACAGCTCACAAGACCTTTTGCCAGGTTGTTTATCAGACAGAGGTGTTACTCCAAAATATTACCCGGTGTAATAAACTCCGACCTTTGCGGTCTCGGTACACCAGGAATGGCTCGGTTTGAAAGCTATTCGGATAAGGTTAGATGTTTGATGTACACTTTTATTTGATATTGTTGTTTGCATGCTTATAATTATGTTACTCTTATAAATCATGCACTCTACTACTGTTTCCACTTTTGTTAGGCTTGAGCAGGAACAACGAATCCTATGCTTCGTGTATATTGCATATGAACAATCAGTTTAATGAAACAAACATTTATGTGCCACAAACTAATGTCACCCGTGACTTCATTAGGTGCTGTCTTATTATGTATCCTCAAAGGTAAAGAAAAAAATAAGCCTAATGGGGCATTTCCTTGACCAATTTCCATTCCCATCCACACATTGTTCTATTGATCTATATTATGTTAATTTAAAAACGTGAATTGAGTTTTAAATGTATATAAATTGTTGTAATATAATGGTTTCTAAACTTTCCTGAAGCCGAAATTGATAAATGGGTGTGTCTCGATCGAGTGACCGGAATACATTTACATGTACCTGTTTTAAAACGAAACACCGTTCAGGTCTCCGACGGTCAAGTTCACACATTATTTGGTCGGCAATTTATAATTCATTGTTCAGTTTCTGACATTTATTTAAGTGTAAAAATAATAGCTCTTTCTTACGATGGCGCTGCTTTCTCAATGACGGTTAAACGTGACTGAAATTATAGGCTTATGCCAGCTTTCACGCACTGTGTGTAAATGACTGACCATTAAAACAGTACATACAGTCTCAGTGCTAGTAGATAGTTTTGAAAACTAAAACACGGAATTAAAATCCATGCTTAAGTTACGATGAACAAATAGTTCGAAATTTTCAAACTGAAATCAATACAATGACACGCTTCTTATGAATTAACAAACATGTAACCCCTTCTGACAGTAACATTTCATGGTGTCTTGCGCCAACTCATCAAGGTTCAGCAGGTGGCTGAATTAGACTTTTTGAAGGAACAGGTCTTGAGTTTCTATATGATATATTATATGTTACTATACCATTTCTGTTTTTGATCCCAGTAAAAATAGAGAAAACTTCATTTAAATTGGTTTTGAAATTATTTCTCTGCTTTAACTCATTCACCCCTGAAATTTTGTTATGAACTATTCCAACCTTTAAATTGGAAGAGTTCAAATGTGTCTTCAGGGGTTAATGAGTTGCCTACTAACAAACAAATGATCACATTGTAATCATCCTTGTTCTTATTATTTGAAAGTGTTGAAAGCGGGGTCAATGTTTATATGACATAGTTAGATGATTTTACTAGTCAATTATAGATTAGATGCAGTTTAATTCAATTTGAAAATGCTTTTCCTGCATGTGATATTCACACTCACAATTTTTCCAAAATTCAGAAAGCAAAGTTAACAGAATTATAAAGATTCATGTATAGCAAGATTTTTCTAACTATTGTAGTCTATTATTTTCACATATATTGCTGTTCTGTAGTAAAACTGTGCTATTTAAATATTGTTTCTAATTTGTCGTTAAGCAGAGAGCTCTTGTCACATAGTTTGATTATATTATCCATCCCATTACTTAACTAGAATGTCACCACGCTTAACATTGCAGCAATCATATAAAAACATGGATGTTTTCACACTGCAATGTGCCACTAATAATGACTTTGACATTGATGATTATTGTTTTGTCAACACAAGGGAAGGAGTGACTGTGCAATATTATTGTAAAAATAATTCCTTGTAGCATGTGAAAAAGATATTTGTTTCATGGCCATGATTGGTTAAAAAAAAAAATGTTTTCATATTTATTTTTTATGGGTTAGGTAATTTTCAATAAATTTAATAGACACTTCATCTATAAAATTAACTACACCTCCATTAAGAAGAACCTCTTTATTTATAAAGGAATATTCTATAAAAGCCGTTTCGAAATTTTTCCATCGGTAGTAAGTAGTAACAAATAGTAGGGTACATAATTTCCCAAATTAACAATCTCTGATCCTAATAAGAATTATGTTATAACGGATTCGTGTTACTGGACGTTACTTGTTGAGGTGCGTGCTTTAATTCGACCGGAACCGGAAACTCGATAGGTATTATCATAACAAAAATGGAGGCGGAATCTACCAACACACCTGCACCGGGCCACAATGACTCGCCAGGTACACACAGACGAGCTGGCAAAAGCATCGACAGACAAGCATCGACAGTTCAACCTGTTCGGCACATTATGCAAGAACCGTTGACCTTTCTGAAACCGAAACAAGAACCAAGGGCTAGCGATTGTGATTATTCCTGTGGTGTGTTCAACAATGGAACTGGAGGAGACATAAACCGTCAATCAGACAAAGACGATAGCTATTTTCCTCGTCGCCACTTCCTCCAAACTAATATGTATAGAACTGGTGCTGGAAACGAATCCGAAACGACGGGACGTTTTGCAGAAACTAATGTCACAATGACTAGTAACGTACAGAATAATGAACATCATACTTTCACGGGGTCAGATTTGATGAGTACAAGAACAAACCAAGACTCTCATTTAAACAAAAGAGATCAAAGTGACATGCATGTTACAGAGAGATCGCAAGCCGATTTTCCTGTACCTGATCTAAGAAGCGCAGAGAGAGTATCGGGGAATACAGAGATACCCTCTTCCTCATCACTCCCTGTTTTCCCAAACCAAAGGCCCCCTCCTTACCCAGTGTATATGTCGCAAGCAGCACCTCCAACTACAGAAGGAATAGTAACACATCATACAACAGCACATGTTCCTGCTTCCCAAAGCAGTTGGGAAACCCGACCTAAAGTTGAAGGTTACAACAATATGGGATTCAACAGTAATGTTTCGGATTCATCAATGCAGTCACAAATTCAGGAACTGGCAAGTTCTTTAGTTTCGATGGCAGATAATATGCCGATGCCTACACCATCTTCTAATTCGGTCGGATTTCCCATGAGCACAGCAGAAGTAGGACAGGATTCCCAGAATGTCATGTATATGATGCCTGGTGGCATGCCCGATGTCAAGAAGAGGAGAGAACTATCACTGAAAACTAAAGTAGACATAATAAACAACGCAGAAGGAAGTGGAATGAGTCAACGACAGCTTGCTGCTCAGTTCAATATATGTAAAAGTCAAGTACACAATATTTTAAAGAGGAAAGAAGAGATCAAAGAAACATATGAAATATCACCAGGATCTGACAGAAAGAGGCGATTTATAAGGACAGAGAATGACGAAATTAATATAATGACTTTGGAGTGGTACCACCGTTTAAAACAACAGAATGTGAAGTGTGTGACAGGGAAAATGTTACAGTGTAAGGCAAGAGAAATTGCTCAACAACTCGGCAAAACAGAATTCAAAGCTTCCAATGGATGGCTTGAGAGCTTCAGAAAGAGACACAAAATCGGACCATGTAACAATATAAACAAAGTGAATACCCCAAAGTTTGATTTTACGTATAGTGGCATGGCAAGTAATGGATTTTTCAAGAGTGCAATAAATAATCCTGAACTGTGGAACACATATCATTCCCAACCTGTTCCTAAGGAGTCTATAGAGGATTCCAGATCCAGTCCTCAGTCTGACGAGGAAGTAACGTCCCAGAACTTATACAGCTACAATTTCAACATGATGTTACAAAACAGAAATAACAATAATAATGAAGGAGAAACGGAGGACGACAGAGTGGATAGATTTGATGTTGATTATAATGCAAACGAAGACGAAATCTACCCATACACTGACACAAATGATGGTGTAGGTTATTCACGCCTCTTACTTTTCAGTTACACACATACCATATAAGCATTATCAGGGGTGCACAATTTCAAATTTAGTGTACTTGACGCAGACAGATTTCAATCAGTTTTTCTTTTCTGATCTAATTTTCAGACTTGAGAGTATGTGTATATCCCAAAAGTCAGGCTAGAGGAATAGTACACCTCTGATATATCCATACTTTTTTCTGCTTAAAATACACTTTAAACTTTAACCTTGATAATTGGATTTTTGTTTAATTTTTCAACAAAAAAGCTATGTGAATACCACAAACAACTACTTGTATTCAGTTCTTGAATATAAATATGGAAATTGCTAATATCTATAAAGCTATATTATATGTTTAGTTAAACAATACTCCTCCACAATGTACATAGCTGGGGTTATGTTTTGACCAAATTTCATCATAATATACCAGGCATTATGGCTTTTTCTCCACTAACAAAGAAATTTCCATATAATAAGAAGTTCAGATGAAAAAATTCAAAGACAAGTGCTAGAATAATCAAAAAGATACCTAGCTGCAGACTTTTGTCACACCCTAGCTTATGTAGCTGCCTTTAGTTGTACCACTTGTCACCCTCCATATTATTTATGTTCTCTGTCAGTTAACTGAATAAGTACAAAGGTATGATTGTGTTAATGTATATATATTGACTGTACACATAAGGCAAGAAATAAGCTGAGAATCCTTTAGTTTGAAAGTAGACCCATACTAGAAAAAGAAACCATGCGCCTCTGGTGAAGTTACAGCTGCCTGCAGTCAGCAAGTGTTATGTATTACACTCTGGTGAAGTAACAGCAGCCTGCAGTCAGCAAGTGTTATGTATTATACTTTGGTGAAGTTACAGCTGCCTGCAGTCAGCAAATGTTATGTTTTACACTCTGGTGAAGTTACAGCTGCCTGCCGTCAGCAAGTGTTATGTATTACACTCTGGGGAAGTTACAGCTGCCTGCAGTCAGCAAGTGTTATGGTTTACACTCTGGTGAAGTTACAGCTGCCTGCAGGCAGCGAGTGGTATGGATTACACTTTGGTGAAGTTACAGCTGCCTGCAGTCAGCAAATGTTATGTTTTACACTCTGGTGAAGTTACAGCTGCCTGCCGTCAGCAAGTGTTATGTATTACACTCTGGGGAAGTTACAGCTGCCTGCAGTCAGCAAGTGTTATGGTTTACACTCTGGTGAAGTTACAGCTGCCTGGAGTCAGCAAGTTTTATGTATTACACTTTGGTGAAGTTACAGCTGCCTGCAGTCAGCAAATGTTATGTTTTACACTCTGGTGAAGTTACAGCTGCCTGCAGGCAGCGAGTGGTATGGATTACACTTTGGTGAAGTTACAGCTGCCTGCAGTCAGCAAGGGTTATGTATTACACTGGTGAAGTTACAGCTGCCTGCAGTCAGCAAATGTTATGTTTTACACTCTGGTGAAGTTACAGCTGCCTGGAGTCAGCAAGTTTTATGTATTACACTTTGGTGAAGTTACAGCTGCCTGCTGTCAGCAAGTGTTATGTATTACACTTTGGTGAGGTTACAGCTGCCTGCAGTCAGCAAGTGTTATGGTTTACACTCTGGTGAAGTTACAGCTGCCTGGAGTCAGCAAGTTTTATGTATTACACTTTGGTGAAGTTACAGCTGTCTGCAGTCAGCAAGTGTTATGTATTACACTGGTGAAGTTACAGCTGCCTGCAGTCAGCAAGTGTTATGTACAGTACTGTATTACACTTTTTACATGGTGATATATCTACACATCGTCAAATCTCTTCATCACTTGTTGTCTGGAAGTTTTGGTTCCTGCTGTTGTTTGTTAATATGCTCTTGACGTAATTATAAGTTTGATAATGATAAAAGAGTATTTAATAATTAAATACTCTCGGTGATCATAATACAAGCAACAACCTGAAGAGGGATTTTTTTTATTAACAATGAACCGGTACTATATACTGTTCAGTATAAACTACCAAGTACTTATAAATTGCAAGTGTTTTATTAAAAAGGTATAAAAATAAATATATACTGTACTGGGCAGCAACATAAAAGCTGACCTAAAATTATAACTAGAGTTTGTTTATTTAGAGTGCCTCAGTTATGAGCTTCATATTTATATATTTTTTTACTTTTTAGGCAACACACAGGATAGAGACGGACAGCTTTGGCAAGCTTGAGGTGCCCGCCAACAAATACTATGGGGCAAACACTGCCAGATCACTGATGAACTTTGATATTGGTGGGCCAAGCGAACAGATGCCGGTGTGTGACTTTTTCAGTTGCTCTGATAAGTGTCGTTTGATTACTATGTATTGAAGTCCTCGTAGTATTATCTTCTCTACAGAATATTAAAGAGTAACATTTAATTCTGAGTAATTTGTTTAGTCCTGTGACAATTTTAAAGATTCAATGCATTCTTACCATTTATCTTGAGTTTCATCATGGTCATATTTACTTTGACCTAGGGTTATTTTGGAAATTAATATGTTTCTATTGAGGGGGAGGTAAAGCTCAAAAGAGGCATATTTTACTTTCCAGACTGCCCACACTCTTTTGTCCCTTGGCCTTCTGTAAATGTTACCCATTATTTTAGACTCTATCATCCATACATTGACCCTATCATCCAAACATTGATCCATACATTGACCTTATTATCCATACATTGACCCTATCGTCCATACATTGATCCATACATCCATACATTGACCCTCATCCATACATTGACCCTCATCCATACATTGACCCTATCGTCCATACATTGACCCTATCATCCATACATTGATCCTCATCCATACATTGACCCTCATCCATACATTGATCCTATCATCCATACATTGACCCTACCACCATACATTGACCCTATCATCCATACATTACCTATTTCAAGTGTTTCCATGGGTACTAGTTATCTGTAGCTGGTCCAAAATGGATGCAGGCAATACAAAATGGTAGGTCAATACAGGAATGCTTATATTTTTAAATTAAAGATTTCCAGGGTATGAAATACATGCTCGTAAAAACTTTCCTTGTGAGTAGCGATCCTGTCTACAGTTGAACTTGCCCATCCACCTGCTATCTACATACATATTAAATAACCATTTTAATACTGATTTGATCATTTTCCAAGTAACTTTTCTTTATGTTTACAACACGTCCAAAGAGACCACATTTCTATAAGGATATTGTTGCCTGTTCCTTGGGTAAACTTAGTAGATGAGTTTCATTTATTCTTCCATCTTTGCACTCTAGATCTGTATAGTATAGTAAGTTAAGGGCTTGTTTTTGTTTTAGATCCCGATCATCCATGCCTTCGGTGTACTGAAGAGATGTGCCGCTGAGGTCAATCAAGACTATGGCCTTGACCCCACGATTGCCAAAAATATCATGATAGCTGCTGAAGAGGTATACAAAAGGCCAAAGAAATAAAACTATCATAGCTTTTACAGAATATCCTAGAACAATTTTAGCAAGTACTGTCCCATAGTAACCATGTTAATACAATAAATTCCTATAACATTATAAATCTGTTTTCACCTTACAATGTTTGAGTACAGTGGTATTACTGTCCAATCGGAATTTCATGTCCTGTCTTTCTGAACATAAAATGAATGGCAAATTCAACTGAGAGCGAAAACAATTATATAGTTAGCAGACTAGCAGTACTGAGAGAGTCATTATGAATGAAATATCTGAGCAAGTTTGAGTGCTGTATATAGTAACATGCCATTGCTTAAGATCCATTAATGATGGTGCTGTATAACTTAACCATTAATGATGGTGCTGTATAACTTAACCATTAATGATGGTGCTGTATATAGTAACATGACAATGCTTTAGATAGCTTCACCATTAATGATGGTACTGTATATAATAATACGACAATGCTTTAGATAACTACACCATTAATGATGGTACTGTATATAGTAACATGACAATGCTTTAGATAACTACACCATTAATGATGGTGCTGTATATAGTAACAAGACAATGCTTTAGATAGTTACACCATTAATGATGGTACTGTATATAATAACATGACAATGCTTTAGATAGCTACACCATTAATGATGGTACTGTATATAATAACATGACAATGCTTTAGATAGCTACACCATTAATGATGGTACTGTATATAGTAACATGACAATGCTTTAGATAGCTACACCATTAATGATGGTGCTGTAAATAGTAACATGACAATGCTTTAGATAACTACACCATTAATGATGGTGCTGTAAATAGTAACATGACAGTGCTTTAGATAACTACACCATTAATGATGGTACTGTATATAAGAACATGACAATGCTTTAGATAACTACACCATTAATGATGGTACTGTATATAGTAACATGACAATGCTTTAGATAACTACACCATTAATGATGGTGCTGTATATAGTAACATGACAATGCTTTAGATAACTACACCATTAATGATGGTGCTGTATATAGTAACATGACAATGCTTTAGATAACTACACCATTAATGATGGTGCTGTATATAGTAACATGACAATGCTTTAGATAACTACACCATTAATGATGGTACTGTATATAGTAACATGACAATGCTTTAGATAGCTACACCATTAATGATGGTGCTGTATATAGTAACATGACAATGCTTTAGATAACTACACCATTAATGATGGTGCTGTATATAGTAACATGACAATGCTTTAGATAGCTACACCATTAATGATGGTGCTGTATATAGTAACATGACAATGCTTTAGATAACTACACCATTAATGATGGTGCTGTATATAGTAACATGACAATGCTTTAGATAGCTACACCATTAATGATGGTGCTGTATATAGTAACATGACAATGCTTTAGATAACTACACCATTAATGATGGTGCTGTATATAGTAACATGACAATGCTTTAGATAGCTACACCATTAATGATGGTGCTGTATATAGTAACATGACAATGCTTTAGATAACTACACCATTAATGATGGTGCTGTATATATTAACATGACAATGCTTTAGATAACTACTCCATTAATGATGGTACTGTATATAAGAACATGACAATGCTTTAGATAACTTCACCATTAATGATGGTGCTGTATATAGTTACATGACAATGCTTTAGATAGCTACACCATTAATGATGGTGTAGTTATCTAAAGCATTGTCATGTTCCTATATACAGTACCATCATTAATGGAGTAGTTATCTAAAGCAATGGAATGTTACTATTTACAGCACTATCATTAATGGTGTATTTATCTAAAGCAATGGAATGTTACTATTTACAGCACATATAAGAACATGACAATGCTTTAGATAGCTACACCATTAATTATGGTACTGTATATATAGTAACATGACAATGCTTTAGATAACTACACCATTAATGATGGTGCTGTAAATAGTAAAATGCCATTGCTTTAGATAACTACACCATTAATGATGGTGCTGTAAATAGTAACATGCCATTGCTTTAGATAACTACACCATTAATGATGGTGCTGTAACTCTGTGCTGTAGGTGGTGAAGGGGAAGTTAGACACTCACTTTCCCCTGGTGGTGTGGCAGACTGGCTCGGGTACACAGACCAACATGAATGTCAACGAGGTCATCAGTAATCGTGCCATAGAAATTATGGGTGGTCAGCTAGGCAGCAAGACTCCTGTCCACCCAAATGACCATGTCAACATGAGCCAGGTAAATATAGAACCTTATACCTCCACTAAGAATCTGATGTTGTGATTAGCCACATTCAGTCACATGACCCAAAACTATATTCGACTGTATATGTTAAATCCAATTTGGTCCTGATCTTGGAGATATCATTATTTATGACTCTGGAGATTATGACCCAAAGGTCAAAAGCAAGGCTCCCTATTTGAGATGGTGTTATCAAGATATGTTTAACTGTTGCTTGTGACATCTTTCAATGCCTCAATAAAACACTGCTCCTGAAAATTTGTTTATGTGTAGAAAAACGTCAGCAAATGAGAATTAGAATCTTTTTGGAATAAAAAACATTTAAATATTCCAGTTAAGGTCAAAATGATGATATTCAGATCCTTGATCAGCTACTCTTGGCAGCCTTGCGGCAATGGTCTATCAGACCACCTTAAGCCACCGCAAGTAGTTTGTGGCCTGCCTTCATTTTACCATAATGACCTATACAGGAATAATTAGCAGTTTGTTTATTATTAGGGAGATTAAAATATTTTTCCATGTTTTTTCTTACACATACATGCCATGAATGTTTAACATTTAGAAAATCTGTTTTAACAACTACATTTTTTAATGCATAGAGTTCCAATGACACCTTCCCTACTGCCATGCACATAGCTGTTGCTATGGAGGTAAACCATAGACTGTTGCCAGGGATGGAGAAACTAAGGGCCTCCTTAGCTGCTAAGTGTGAGGACTTCACAGAGAGAAAAATCGTCAAAATAGGACGGACGCATTTGCAGGTACAAATTTACATTGAATTTATGTCATTGATATAAAGGAGCAAAAAAAAAGGTTTTAATCAGTTTCGAACTACAGCAAATGATTTAATTTAGTTTAAACATATTGGTTCCCCCATTGCAAGTTTTACACAATAATGGATCCTTTTTAGGATGCCACCCCTCTGACACTGGGCCAGGAGTTCAGTGGCTATGTCCAACAGATGGAGTATGGTATTGAGAGAGTGAAGGACACCCTACCAAGACTTTACAAACTGGCAGCAGGTAAGAAGTGGAAGCATATTGTAAATTATTTTATATTATTAAGTCAGTTGGTATATTTAAACAAGAGTCAATTCTGCATTCTGTATTTTGATATATATAAAGCATACTAGATAATTCTGTGTTGTAATAAAAATACTTATGTAAACGTCATTTGAAGCGTGCTGTTAAATGGGTATTAACAGAAATTAAATTATTTGCACTTTCACTCGTAGTGTATTTGATTTAATTTGGAAAATATGATATATAAATGTTTAAAGATGTTTACAAATTAAAACAAAAATCCCATATTATGAGACAAAAATATGTTGCGTATATGAAGATGCAATCTTTCTGAAGGGATGCACTTGAAGTTTTCATTGTTTTGCATTACATCAGGTGGTACGGCTGTAGGAACTGGACTTAATACTCGTATAGGGTTTGCAGAGAGTATAGCAGAGAAGGTGGCGAGTTACACTGGTTGGTATACCTAGCTACAATGAATGCTCTTGTCTTACAGTTACGTCCATAACCACAACTTTCTAAATACTGTACAATGGGAAACACTTGGCACATACAGTTTTAACTTTTGGGATTGAACCTTGAGCTATGAGGAAAAATTCATCGTGACAGAAAATGAATATAATGAGCTTCAATCAGTATTGTTATACTTTACATTTTATATCTACTAGGAAGGTTAAACCTTGACTAGAAGAATGTAGATTTTATGTGTGAAGGTTGTATTGTGGCATTCAGATCAGAAATTGATGTTTTAAAGAAATGTCCTATTTGAAAGTTCATAACTTTTCCTTATCAAAGTTTTGTGGAATTAACATGAAAACTGATGAAGACATACATATTTTTCAATTTTATATACATTTGACCATATTTAGTAAAAAATGTTTTTTGTTTTCTGAAGAGCCAGATATTTCAAAGATGTGTTCCAACTAAAAACACTCAGTAAATATTTTGTAAAGATATTATATCCCTTACCATCTTCACGGGTCACCGATTGCTCTGGCCTTTATCCTAATATTGCTCAGTGATTCCTGAATCCCGTGGTATGCTAACCGAATAAAAAGGAATCCCTGTTTGAGAATTGTGTATACTGTATGGGATGGATGTTCATTTCTTAACTTCAGGAAATTGAAAAAAAAATGATTTTGTTTTTTGAAGGAATACCTTTTGTGACGGCTCCAAATAAGTTTGAGGCTCTGGCAGCTCATGATGCATTAGTGGAGGTGCATGGGGCCCTTAACACAGTATCGTGTAGTCTGATGAAGATTGCCAATGATATCAGGATGCTTGGTTCAGGGCCCCGATGTGGTATTGGAGAGTTGATATTGCCCGAGAATGAACCAGGCAGCAGTATTATGCCAGGTAAGAAGTGCCTTCCAGTTGGAATAAGGACGATCAACAATATGTCGTAAAACCTTTATTCTGTATATCTGTTCATGGTGTGTGAAAAGTGCAATTGTTTTAATCTAGATTTTACCATCATCAATGAATATTATAAGACGCTTTAATGCCCAGGGGTGTAGGATGGAGAAATCCCACTTAAGGGGTTTTCAAATTTGGTAAAACCCGAGGCAGTCGGATATCAGGCCAAACTCTGTTACATTTTAGCTGTGTTCGTTTAATAAACACTGTCAGCTGTCAGATTGTGATTCAGTAGAACTGGTTAAACAAAGCAAAAATAGTGTATGGAATTTTACATAAAAATCATGTTTTTATATTTATTGAAGCTATGCCACAAGTGTTTGAATCAGTGAAGTGGACTTGTATATTAATGTCACTGTTCTACACCAACCATTCACCCCCCTTTTGTTTTACATAAATTAAGCATTGACAGTGTTTTTTCCACTATAAAGCATTGACAGTGTTTTTTCCACTATTAAGCATTGACATAAATGCTATATTGATTATTAAAGTATGTATTTGTCTTTAAATGCTGCTTATGATGATTGAACAAAAATCGACTAGTTAAATAGTTCAAGCTAATCAATTGACTTCAAATTATGAATGCAATGTATTGTGATATTGACATTTCAAAGAGGTTACCTTATTCATAATCAAAGATTTTCTGATATCAAATTCGGTGAGACTTCAAGAGTTATCTTTCTTCCTTTATTTACATAACATTTTGCAATCATTTCTAGGGTTTCTTAAATGTTAACTTTTGAGCAACCCACAACAAAAACTATAGGTAATCAATTTCAAACAATGCCACTTAAGTAATGTGCAAAGATGGTGTTTCAAAGTGTAATATTTTCATGATAAAAACATTTTGTACATTACCATACTTTTTGTCATTTTAGGAAAAGTGAATCCTACACAGTGTGAGGCAGTAACCATGGTAGCAGCCCAGGTAATGGGTAATCATGTCGCCGTTACTGTGGGAGGCAGTAACGGCCATTTTGAATTGAATGTGTTTAAACCCATGATGGTGAGGAATGTTTTACAGTCTGTGAGACTTATTGGTGATTCCTGCTTGTCATTCTCCAAAAACTGTATTGTGGGCATCGTAGCCAACGAGGAGAAACTGACCAAAAACCTAAATGATTCTCTCATGTTAGTGACGGCTTTAAATCCACATATTGGATATGACAATGCTTCTCAGATCGCAAAATTAGCCCACAAAGAAGGCTTGACCTTGAAGCAAGCAGCATTAAAACTGGAACTTGTTCCCGAGGACAAGTTTGACGAGTGGGTTAGACCAGAGAAAATGTTAGGACCAAAGTAGATCTGAACGGTGACAAGTTTGGCCCTGTGGATGTGCATCTTTCTTTGTTGGTTTTGGTATCTTGATCTCCTAATGTAACGTTGGGAGATGTTTGTATAAAAGAAGGTGATCTGTAGATATGGTTTGGAATCTCTGTAAATCTTTGTCTTTGTGGTAAGTTAGATCTGAGCAATGGTAAATTAAAAAATCATGCTACATGTCCTTTTTTTCTAACTTTTATGTGATTAATATCACTTGTTATCATTGATTATATTTAATTGCTCTTCCTGGAGTATATACAGTATATATTTGGAGATTCAGAGAAATGGGAGGCAGGGAGGCACTCTTTTGCGACCAGACCCCTTTTCCTCACCAATGTTTGTGTTTTTCCTCTCAAGCTAGGAGTGTGTGTAGATGTATATAATATGTCAAACGTGATACTATTTTGGGGGTGATTTCTCTTGGAGAACCCCCTATCTCTCTCATGTAAAAATGGTGACATGCTCCTTACAAAGAGTGTACTTGGTGCTTATATCATAACTTCTGGATTCTGGATGAAATGTTGAATTATGAGGATGACAAATAAACAGAAAACTGAGATATTTTAAATGTGTTCTATTATTTCTGTTTCCTATATATCTTACCTACTCTTCATTCTGTTTTATCAACTCCATTCTCTCTCTTACCTTCTCTGTTTTCTCATTCAACCTTTCTCCTCTCTCTATCATTTTATAATTAAACATCAACTGTAATAAAAACAAAATTCATTTCAAGTAATTTACAATGATTGGTCTAAATCGGAAATAGATCGGAAAGAAATGTCATGATTAAAGAATTATTCAAGACCTTAATGAGTAAAGAACAAAAAATCAGGAATGTTCATAAAAAATGTGCCACTTTATAATTAGTTCATGAAAATAAAAGACTTGAATCATTTATGATATAAAAAAATGTCAATCGTAAGAGAAAATACAGCATTTTGTGCAACCATACATACCATATTCCATCCTTTTAAATCTCTTGAAGAGTAATGTCTTGTAATATTGAACACATTACACTCTGAATCGAGTAATCTGGTACAGTGGGACAGGAGGTGGTCTGGGATCACAGTTTAACCAGGTAATGCAGTGGAATTGTCTAAAAGCTTGGTCTGAAAATAAGGTATAAAATATATATGAATTATGTCAAAATTCACAATAATGCTTTAACCTTTTCTGTTACTTATTGATTTGTACTAATGATACGGTATCGAGGTGGTGATGTATATATATTTCATAAAGATGACATTTAAAGTGGCCCCATCGTCTTTGATTTAATCATATTTTTATTTGCATCTAATATACAAAAGGAATTGGGCACAAGTTTTCCAATTTTTGTAAACCCCTTTCCCAATAACATAATGATATATATATATACAAGATGGCAATTTTTGAATTAATTCACATTTTTAGGTCACCTGAGACAAAGTCTCAAGTGACCTATTGCGATTGCCTTTTGTC